TCAAACCCGGGCCATCGGCGTGACGAGCGAATGCTTTAACAACTATTAACTACATGTATTAGCAACAGAGAATTAAATTAAATTCAGAATTTGTAAAGCGCATTTTCCAATTAACAACTGCTCAAATGCGCTCAGACCATGATTAATCTAGACAAAGGCCCTCTTGAAGAGACAGGTCTTTATAATTTGTCAGATTTTCAGGTACTCAGATTTCATGGGCAGATTGTTCAATAATAATAATAATAATAATAATAATAATAATAATAATAATAATCCACATCACTGAGTGACATGCTCAATGCGCAAATAGCAATGGTCCATGGTTCATGTCACAGGATCCAAAAATATTTCTCACATTTTAATATAACAATTTATGTAACATCATCACACATTTTGAATACACAGGTGTTTTGTTTATTTATCGTTGCGAAAGATTATTCTTTCAATTTGTTTATAATCTTAAAGTTAATTTATTTGTGTAGATTAGTAGATTTAAATGTCACTGGACATAACGAGGAGCCTCCCCCCAAGTTAGTTTCTGCACAGACTTTGCTGGCTGTCAAACACACTTACAGAGTCTGTGTCTATGTCTGGACATCCCGAAGGCCAAAAATCTGCAGTGCAATTTCTAAGAAGGAGTTGGATGGAATATCTGACTCAACAAGCAATAATGAACATTGAATTATGCAATTTGAAATATTGAGTATTATCATGACAATGAATTTAAGGGTAAGTGAAGGGTAAATGTACAGTGCTGGGTCAGTGTATATAAAACATTGGGTATCAAATAACAAGCCATAAATGTCAAAAACAATAAACGTTTGCAGCTTTTTTTTCTGTAACCTTTTTTTTCTGGTCACCAGTTAAACACATTGTCTCCAAGCAGAAGAAAAAAACACTGTTTCTCATATTTTGTTCCAGCTTAAGTATTCTATGTCAATCTAGGTTCAGCAGAATTGTAGGCCCTTCTCTTAATCTTTTGCAGATGCAGGGCGAAGAACAACGCAGTAACATTAACACATTTAAATAAACTGGATAAATCAATGCTCCTACAGCAACAACTACACCTACATCGCTGTGATGCAGTGCTGTAGCAGTCAACACACCATGCAACCTATGATTGTTGTGTTTAGCAGCATGTCACACCTGCAATTAGCACCTGTTGTTGTGGGAAGAAGATGTAAGTCACACAACAGTAGGTGCACACGTTCAGACTGCACAGCAGGTGTGTCTCTTTAGATGAACTAATTACTCTTCACCAGAGCAGCAGAACGAGCTAACGACCAAGAAAACAATACTGTGAGTTTATACCCTGAGGCTACGAATAATATATGCATTCCACACAATAACTCTGGGAGATAAACAATATTTCAATTTCATTCCAATCAATGGGGATAAAACAATATATAGAAAGTTTTCTGATCTTACTATGAGACGGCCGCTAAACAGACAATACACATTCAATTCACCCTCATTTTTCTGATTGATACTGATAATTGAATGTTATACCCGATAACTGAATTTTTTAACTGATGATTGAATGTCATACTTGATAATTGAATGTTATGCCTGATACTTTAATGTCATACTTGATAACAGAATGTCATACCTGATAACTGACTGTTTCACGTCAGTTGTTTCTTGACATTTAATTTTATTGACATCAATCAGTGTTCAAAATTAACAATGAAAGTGAAAGAGTTCTGCCACACTCCTAATGTTCCAGGTGAAACATTTTGTGTCCTCAGATGAAACTGCCTAGGACTAAATATGCCAAAAGAATTCTAATTTCTAACACTGTTAATTCTTCAGAATTAGGCATAATTGGATGACCTTATTAACGTTTAAGAAGTGTAAAAGAAGCAGAGTTGTATTTAGAAGAAAAATAAAATCATATACTACTCAAAAGAAGGTAAGGAACACAAATGTTTTCCATATGACTATAGTTATTGGCCATTACATATTAACTGTAGTGATAAGAAAAAGACAGGTGTTCTTAAACTTATTTTGAGTAGTATACAGGGATGTGAGTAGGTTTTCACATAAAAAAAAAGAGAAAAAGTATTGGGGTGTGTGGGAGCATGCCCCCCCCCCCCCCCCCCAAGAAATATTTTATACATTTGATTGCATTTTAAGCAATTTCGTGCAGTTTGGAAAACATTCACACCAAGAAATGTAATAAGTCAATGGCAAAAGTAAATAAGTCAAATAACCAAAGATGGTGGATGCAGTAATATTTCGAAGTTAAATCAGTACTTTCAAAAAATCGGGCATAGCTTCCTCACACCCGGCGGGTCTGGGAGCAATACTGCCACATACTTCACCCCCCATCCCCCAGACACAAGGACAACTGTCACAAGCGTGCAATGTCTGACCCTTTCCCCATGTTGAAGCATATTAAAAAACTTACCTTGTACTTACTTACCTTTTGTTGAAAAAAAAGAAAATCCATTGCAAACGTAAGACATTAATACAACATATATCCCCGTGTTATGGGTTTTCAGACACTGAAGAAACATTCATAGTTTTCTCGCAAATCACATGAACAACTGTATAACATCTCATTCGCGTATAGGCTAAAAGACAACTTTATCTTAAAAACAAGCCATCATCTGAGTATTTACAATTTCTGTGTTACGCCACACCCCATGTTATAGTGCAAGTATTTGTGATAGAAAACGTATGATGCTGAAAGCTCTGATAAAAAAACCAGGACAATCCGCGAGAGTTGTCCGGTTTTCGATCACATTTTTTTGAGTGTTTTTTAAATATATTTTTTACGTGGAAGATGATTTTTTTCCGAGGACTAGTGTTTTAAAAACGTGATTTTCCGTGTTTCAGCGGAGATTTCACATCCCTGAATAATTTAATCATGAAAGTGAGACAACATGTTACAATGAGACAAAGTGAGGGGTACAGTGATGGGCTTCACACATTGTACCCACGTGGGGAATCGAACGCGGATCTTGGGCGTGACGAGCAAATGCTTTAACCACTAGGCTACCCGACCGCCACTCATTTCAATGGGTTTGCACAGGCAACAAATCAACAACACATGCTATGCACCTGTAGATATGACAGGTAAGTTTGTAGGATTCTAAAGAAAGAATCTTTGCATTTAACATTCATGTAGCAGTCAATGCAATGTTGAACTAAGCACTAAAGCCTCTCACTCTTCATTGGTCCTGCTCTCAGCGATATCGCAGTATCCTCAACCAAGCCATTACATGAACATGAATTGGAAATGTTTAATTCCCATTGGGGAATTTTTCCTGACATTTGCTGCCGACTTGGGTCAGAATTTTGGCTCCTGAGCAGGTCTAGATACATCCATGTATGAATATGCATCAAGTATCAAAACAAATTCTCCATTAGCTGGTTCCACTTCTGCCAAAATGTTTCAAATACCAGATCCTTTAATCTTTTTGATACTGAGATTAGTCTTCGACTGACAATGAAAATCTGTTAATTTTAAATGTGCATATATCTCTTGCTTGTAAGGATTAAGTTATTTTTCATACAGTCTTAATTAAGTCTTGAGTCATTACATCTGTTTGAAGATTTTATTGGCAGTAAATATTCTTGCAAGTTTAACATAATTTGAAAATGCCGTAAACAAAATTGGTTGGACAATACAGATATTAGTTTTTTGTTTGTCTTTCTATAGCTGCACTCAGAAATATTTCAGCTGCACAAACTCTTCAGGATTTATTGCAATTTACTTTAATCATTGACAATGCAATTTTGTTCAGGAAATAAAGAGTATCATTTAATCAATAAATCATGAAACCATGAAAACTTGTCATATGAACCTGTGGCGGTCCCCTGACTCTCCATAAGTACAGTCAATGACAGATCTCTGTAGCACTGGGGATGTAAAACATCTCATTATTTTCTTTCTAAAATATCCAGCACATCTCTCACATGTCCTGCAAACTCATTCTGCTGGTCACAGGACCTCAACAATGCAGGGGAGATAACTCCAGCAACTTTACTTACTTTGTTCAACATTGTTTGAAGTAACATAAAATCCTGTTGTGAGCTATCAATAGTTATCATCATGTCAGTTCAATCTCAAACTGGCAATAATTCACACATTGTTTTAAAAAACCCAGCAAGCAAAATCCTTATATATTACATAAATTTCTTCTAAAATGAAAACAGGAATTTGTGTTGATCACTGATAAAGAGACTGTGACGGCTTCATACAATGCAATACATTTGCAGATATTGATATTCTTGTCTGGTCTGACAGATCTTCCCAGTTAAAAGGGAGCATATTTGGCCAGCACTGATCAGCCAGCCTAGACCAACACTGGGTCACACAGTCATCAGACATGAACCGTATGGTCAAAGAGTGTCTGAAGTTTCCTGTCTGCAAGTCATGTCAATGTAACTCCAGTACAGAGTGTGAGGGTATCTGCAGATCAACATCCCGCACACATGTAGACACCACTGTGTGTATGTGAGTGAGTGAGTGAATGTTGTTTTATCCAGCTGCAGACAGTGAACGCACATGAACCTACATCTATGATGCATTAATGATGACACTATGCGATTGGCTGCCTCGTGTTATCTCTTCAGTTGTGTCATAGCAGCCTATAATATACCACTCAACTCTTGATAAGGATAATCTGTGTGCCCAGTTTGAGAGAGTTGTCATACAAATAGTATCTCATATTGCAGTGGAACTGAGTCATGTTCGGCTTCATTTCAAGTTAAATAAACGAAAGTACATATTATTATGTTCACTATTTTTGTAACAGGATAAAAATTCCAGTACCCCTATCAATTGTTGAGTGGTATAATTGAGCCTGGCAAATCGGTTGGCAGTACGATGTTGACCGTGCATGATGTCAACCAGGTCACGCAGCGTAACACCTGATCTTGATTTGTCCCTACTGGACCATCCTTGGCACTGGGGATCTAGTCTGCCCCGGAATCTCCACAGGAACATTCTGTATGTATTATTATTATCATAGGAAACAAACGTGACTTACTTGTGTTGATTTTCCTGACTGCTTCTTGGAAGGTCATGAAACACATCTCCTCTCCTGCACAGAAACCACACAACATCTGTGAGTACACAGATAGTGAAAGTATAACTGTTCATGGATCCTGATAACAGTGGATGACACAACTGCAGAATCTCTCAAATCCACATAGAAGTCTATATATATTGTAAACACTGTTAATTTCTTTGGGGGGCATTTAGAAGTTGGAGTACTAAGTAAGGATAAGGTTTAAGGATGAACAACTTCTTTATTACAATTAGGAGCGACGTTTTGGTGTAGGTTCTAAAACTGTTATCAAGCAAGTGATGTACAGAGTATGGTTGACAAGAATATATACAGGATAGGCGGCAGTGTTTATACAGTACAGTAAATATCAGATGTAGCTACACTGGAGTGAAGAAGCCTGTTATGTACACATAAAAACCAGTACTTTGTCAGTGAGTAGATATTGTTAAGGCTGTTAATGCTAATATCAGTGCTAAGATGGATGACTTTGTCATATTTCATGTCACACTTCCTGACTGAAGGACATCAAAGTGGTGCTCCATGATGAGAAGTTTCTTCATGTAGTGCGGACATATTCTCTATTTCACAAGTGCTGGCTAAAGACTCAGCAGTGTTGCTCGTTTGGCTCATGGAATCAGCATTCTGTAAAACATCTCTGTGTTCTGTGTGCACGAGCACTGTTGTGGCATCTCAGAATTGTCCCTACACTCAGCCATGAATCAATGCATCAAAAATGACTAACGTAATCGACGTAATAAGCACCCAGGGGGGCTCTTATCAGAATATTATTTTGGTGAAAAAACAGAGTTGAAAGATAAATTTCGTGGTTTATGCTGACAGCCTGAAATGTGTATATACGACAGATATATTTTGCCAGAATTTAATTGCCCATAATTAAGGGTGCATATAACACACGAGTGCGTATTATACGCGAATAAATAATTCTTGTGTACATTGGTCAATCGAAAGGGGTGCTAATTGGGATTGTTCACTAGCCAATACATCAGCAAATATCGCCGTGGGCGCTTATTAGAGCGGGGCGCTTATTACGTCAAATACGGTACACTACGTTTCTCCATCACGCGTGAATACACAGTTTGCTCTTGCTGTGTACATGGTGTGAGTGAGTATGGTTTTACACCGCTTTTAGCAATATTCCTGCAATATCACGACGAGGGACACCAGAAATGGGCTACACACATTGTACCCATGTTTGGAATGGAACCCGGGAGTTCGACGTGATGGGCAAACGATTTAACCACTAGGCTACCCGACCGCCTCCTTGCTGTGTAGAAATTATGTGTGTCTAATTTTGATCATGGCAGTCCAATCAGACAACACCGGTCCTGACATTGAAACAGTGTGTTAAGTAGATGACAGTATGGCTATTGCGGGGTACACAAGATACATTGCCGATGTAATCTGAGTGTATCTGTGATACGATACATGATATACTGAGATACCATGCCACAGTTCAACATGAATACCCCACTCAGACACAGTATACTGACTCCCAGCCGACTAGCCCTTGTTTTATCACCTTAATGCTGAGCACCAGACAGAATAATGCCAAGTACCATCTTTTGGTATGACATGGCCAGGGATTGAACCCTTGGCCTTCTTTCATTTCCAATTTTAGACTGTTAAAAATATATCAGAAAAGTAATTTCAATTTTATTTCAAATTTGCTATTTTACATTTTTCTGTACCATCCACCCCCCAATTATATTAATCTCCTAAAGCTAGGACAGTGATGCATTAAGATATGTACTGCGGTCCCCCTGTAGACAATGACTGTACAGCTACTTACCAACAGCCTTGTCATGAGCCTGCAGATGTCTCCGAGCCAGGGCGTTCCATGTGACAGCGTGTTGGGGGTACAGCTCCTTCAGACTGGGGACATCGTCAACATAGACATTAGCTACACTATGGTGAGTGTGTGAGTTGAGGTCAAACATAGACTAAGTCAATGGGTGTTGTTTAACGCTGAAGTCAGCAACATTTCAGTTATATCTCGGTGGCCTGTAGATAGTCATGTCTTGTCCATACAAACCAGTGGTTAATATTATGAGCAACGGCCCATGCCTTCAAAGGCAACACCACTCTCCACATTTGTTGCCCCTTACAACAAGTATTATAAGGGGTACTTCAGTCACAGGGCACAGGTGTGGTGCAGGCAAACCAAGGATCATAATTAGGGTGAATCTGGGATTCAAACCCATGACAAGCGTATCCAGGTATGTCTAAGGGACATAACTGCACCCAAAGTATTGGTCATTTGCTGCTTAATGCTGAACTCAGCAAAAATCGACCTAAAGTGGCCTGCAGATGATCCCGAACCAGACAGTCCAGTGATTGATATTATGATCAACAATCCAAGCTGTCAGGGTACAAAGACCACAGTCCACCAGGTCACTGAGCCTGACCACCTGAACCAGTATGTCGCCTCTTACATGAATCACAGGTTGCTGAGGACCAAACCGGACACAGATATTGTGGTGTCTCATACCACTAGGCCACCTGTACTCCAAACGATGTGAAGGAGTGATGCTGGGTGTCAACTGGAAGAAAAGGATGTTAACTGTATGGCACTGTGGCTGTGCATGACTACAGAATACGAAGAGGACACTGGAGGAGACTTACTCTTTGTACATGGTGCTGAGTTTAGGGGCTGTGAAGGGGAACTGCTGACACACAGCAATCAGAGCCAGAGCCAGATCAACATCTCCTGCAACAGACAGTGAGTGAGTGAGTGAGTGAGTGAGTGAGTGAGTGAGTGAGTGAGTGAGTGAGTGAGTGAGTGAGTGAGTGAGTGAGTGAGTGAGTGAGTGAGTGAGTGAGTGAGTGAGTGAGTGAGTGAGTGAGAGTGAGTGAAACTATAAAACTAAAAAAGTCCAGTTTCAATCCACGCCAAATTTGGCGAGAATTTCTCAGACAATGTTTGGCGTTGCGTGGCGTGGCGTGGCGTGGCGTGGCGTGGCGTGGCGTGGCGTGGCGTGGCGTGGCGTGGAGTAGAGTGAATTGAGGGATTGAGTATGATTTGTAAATACTTCTCCAGAATGTCCATTTCATGGATCCTTGACCCAGGTCTCCAAGACGACAACCTATCAGACAAAGGCACAAGGGTCATGACAAAAGGCTCAGGTGACTATCCTGTTTCCTGCATCTGTGATTATGAGTGAGTGAGTATGGTTTTATGCCGCTTTTCCAGCAATACCAGGGCGGGGGACACCAGAAATGGGCTTCACACATTGTACCCATGTTGCGAATCGAACCTGGGGAGCAAACGCTTTAACCACGAGGCTACCTGACAGGCCGCTCTGATTATGAGAACCCATCTGTGTACTGATGGAACTATTTTCTTTCTAAACTGACCTGGAAACTGTTCAACCGCCTTCTTGTACACAATCTGTGCCACCGTCCCGGACAACACCGCTTCCTGCTCCACATCAGCAAACTGTGCAACAACAGCAACAACACTCATCAGGTGGTCTACACAATATGAGACTACACAACACTGTACAGCACTGTACAACACTGGATGGGACTCAAACCAAATCTGTACTTTACTAAGAGAGCTTTATTCCAAATATATCATTTGTTACAATTGACCACTTTCTAAATGGCATTGTGTATTCAAAGCTTTCGGCCATGACAGCAGTGCCAATTTACACTTATCAGAGGGGTACACAAAGTATGTGATCTAGACTGCCAGCTGTCAGACTTTCATTTTGTGGAAGCCTCAGTGGCTGAGTGGGTTTGATCGCTGACTTTATGTGCTGGCGATTAGGTGCCTGACTCTGGGAATGTGGGTTCGAATCCCGGATGGGACTCTACCCCAAAGAGTACTAGTATCTGTACTAGAAAGTGTTATCCCAAATATAACATTTGTTATACAACACTGTATAACACTATATAACCATGCATAAGACAACATAACATTGTATAACCCTGTATAATACTGCATAACACCAAATAATTTAGTTTACACAATATATGGCTTTTCAGTTGAACGAGAGGCCGGTCACCTGAACGTGAAATTGACTTTCATAAGTGTATGAATGACACAATTTGATGTTCACACGTTTTTGACGAGACCGTGTTCTTGAAATGATGTAAACACTGAAGGACTACTTCCACATTCCCTTAAAATCATAAGAATTTACTTTCACTTTGTGCGAGTTCATTGGAGTATGAACCTTCATAGAGTGAGGGCCAAACATAAAGCTCCGGCGGTCACACAGTTTTGCCCTCACTCTATGAAGGTTCATACTCCAATGAACTCACACAAAGTGAAAGTCAATTCTTAAACAAGAGTTTGCCACAAACTTGGCTATATCCCCCACCCCTGTGGCAGAATTTATGACATGATTAAATCTAAACAAACCCTAACCTTTTTTAACCGAGGTGGAACTTGTCATGGAAATTGTAAAAAGAGAAGAGTTTGGAACCTAAGTCCATCTTGTTGCCATGGAAACATAAAAAATAACAGTTTCTAATATTTCTAAATAGCAAAAGGCACCAGTTCAGCATGTACTTGACAGACCTGCAAAGTTTCATAAAAATATATTGAACGGTTTCTGAGTAATGCTCCGGAAACGAAATGTGACGAAACGAAACGGACGGAGCCCAATTCTATATACCCCGCCAACTTTGTTGGGCAGGGGATAATGACACTACATAAGACTACATGACACTGTGTAACACTGAATAACAAAGGGGAAACAACTCACCTCTTCCAGCAGTTCTCGTCTTTTCCTCAACTAAAACAAAAACAAGTTGTTAAGTATTATCCATGTTGTAAAGTGTCTATTGTCAGTATCTGACATAAACAACCATGACACATTGCAGCTGACATGAATAGAGACCAAAAATGATGGAGTGAAAACTAAATTGTCACATCGGCAATAGCTCTGCCACATAGTGACTAGTCTCAGGTAATGGGTGGGTGAGGTGAGGTGAGGTGAAAATGGGTTTAACGTCACGTCCAAGATTATTGCACCCAGCATACTGACTCTGAGCCGACCACCCTCTTAATACCGAGTGCCAGACAGGGTAACAAGAAGTAACATCTTTTAACGTCTTTTGGAATGACGGGCTGGGGATCGAATCCCGGACCTTTTGCTCTCCGGGCGGAAGCTCTACCACTAGGCCATGGGGGCGGTCTCAGGTAATGGAGATTCCTGTTACCATGGTAATGAAGGGCCAGTTTATATTAAATCTTATTCTATCGTCATTACTGATGTTTTTGTACATTGCTTTCTCAGCTACATACCTTCTCTGCATATAGTAGCTCTAGCCTGTAGTACTGAAACAGAGGGAATAGGAGATTACAGCATGTCAGTGCTTGTTTGTTCGTTGTTAAACGCAGCACTCGGCAATATTCCAGCTATATGATGGCGGACTGTAATCGAGTCTGGACCAGACAATCCAGTGATTGACATCATGAGCATCGACCCACGCAATTTGGATACACGATGACATGCCTCAACCAAGTCAGCGAGCCTGACCATCTGATCCCGTTAGTTGCCTCTTAAGACAACATGGTGCCTTTTACAGCAAGCATGGGTTGCTGAAGGCCTATTCTACCCGGATCTTCACGGGTCGAGTGAGTTGGTTTAACTCTGAACAGTGTTTCAGTGACATCATTTGATGTCTTAATTTGGGCTGACCTCAAAATGAAACCCATAACATGGACATGATACTGGTATGGTGGTCAGAATATATTTCCAGTTTGCTTTTCAAGACATGCCATTCATACTCAGAAAGGAGCCAACATATTTTGGTGAAACAACAACATTATTTTTATAACATCCAGCAGTGAAATGTTATAATTGTATAATCTGAAAACTAATATTATTCCAGCTTTTCAGGAAACAGATTATTTTCAAGAAAGTCCTGAGCCCCGCAACCCCTTCAATACAATTGACCCGGAAGTGTCAAGTAGAGGCCGGAGTATCAACAAACTAAAGACAAGATGGCCGATCTACTTCTTGATCAGAGTTGTAGCAACATTTCGGTGTAGATTGTCATTATCATGGCAAGTTTTGTTGTGTTTGTTGTTTAACGCAGCACTCAGCTCTACCTCTATCCACAGCTGCTTGGAGGTGTCATTGAACCTCAGGCCCCTCTGCAGCAAAGTGCGAGCGTTCTCCGGGTTGATGTTGGCCTCAAACTCCCACTTGGCGGCCATGACCCACAGATCTGATACCGATACAACACAAGATGCAATGCAGACTCTCACTACACACAGACAAGATAAAGGCAGTTCTCACACACTGTCATACATATTTTCAAAACAAATACCTTTCAATTTTACACAAAAGTGAAACAAAACACTTCCATATACTTGTTTTTATCGAACGTTAACCACATTTACGCCTATATGTTAATCAGCATCTTCCCAAGGCAAAGGAGTTAACTGATTCCAAAAGTCCAGTTTCCACCCTTGCCGAATTAGGCTGGAATGTATTGGCTTGATCATAGCACAACCAGTGGCTATTTCGAGTTTCTATAAATCTTGAAATTAATGCGAGCGTGAATTAATTGCGAAAAATGCGAGTGGTCTTTGTTCACATTAAATGAAACTTCGCATTTATGTACTGGGTATCCAAAATGAATATCAACATTGAGACGGCATCACTGCACGGAAATATCAACTGGATAGCAGAAATACCAACTTGACTATATACACAAACACGGTTTATTGAGCAGCAGTTGTAACAAGTACATGACAATGTCAATTAAAGAATAGGAATTACACAATAGGCATCCAGTGAGTTATCACTGCTGGGGTCAAGAGTTGATTTTGCATTGATTTTGAGTCACATTTTATTTTTGCGGTAGCAGTCATATTAATTTGGAGACATTAATTTCAAGATTTACAGTATGTCCTTTCTATGCCCTTCCTATCGACCAATCAGATTCCACCTCTTGTATCACTTCCATTTGCTTCAAACACAAGGGAGGCACCCAGGCAAGACGATCTCATCAATGATCAATATCTGTATAGTAATAAAACAGGTCTTACCTAACAAAGTGCATCAAATCATGTGAGCACCTTGATAAAAAAAATATGAAAAGATTTGGAAAATATCGGTCAATGCCCAGTGGATGGAACACATCCTTGCAAATCTTGTTGTCACCCAAAATCTGGATGTTGAAATCCATGTGGTTTAAGAACCGGATGTCGATTTCATAATGCAATTCTGATTGGACGATACATAGACTTGTTAGTCCAGCCAAACTATAACTCCATAATTCCAGCCTAGTTCAACAAGGGTGGGAACTGGACTTTTACAGTCATTAACTCCCTTGCCTCAGGAAGATGGTTAATCAATAACCTTTCTGGTTTTTTAGAAAACCTGCAGTTGTTGATAACATTTTTAGCTCAGCTCCTGAGATTACACGTATACCACCCATTTGGTGTGAAGCTCACCTGGTTTCTTGTTGTGGACTTGGAGCATGCGGGTATACAAGCGGCTCACATATGACCTCTCATTCTGAAAACAACAGAAATATGTATCACCAGTCCTGTAAGAGACCCTGCCTTGTTGCTGGCTGCTGTCACTTAACAAACACAGCAGGAGTAGCAGCCATAGTGAAGGAGAGAGAGTTGGGTTTACTGCCGCTTAGAACAGTATTTCAGACTAGAACAGCTCGAAAGTGACGCAGGTCTCAGATGTTTACCACTTTGGAAAAACCCATGTGCATGGGTATGGTGCTGACAAAACTTAAAACATAATCAAGGCAAACAAGGGTCTGAACCCACAACTATTGGCTTTTGGCATCCCCAAGGGACGCAACTCTGCACAGCTAAATGAAGGGCTTCAGACAACTGGGCCACCCTTGCCTCCTCTTAGCTGTTGGACTGGCAGTAGTGGGTGAGTCCAGTAGGAGCATTGTGTCCCCTTTATAATCACAGTCAACAAGGTCAATACCAGACATACCAGTGGTTGACAGCATGAGCAACAAACCATGTCATCTCGGGCCAGGTCGCATGTGCTTAATCTTGTTGACTCTTACAAGCAGGGTAGCTGTGGACCTACTCTGACCTGCAACCTCAGCAAGTATATCTCTGCAACACTGCAACACAGTGTATGACGTCATGCATACTTGCTACATTTCATGGGAAGAGATTTCAAGATATGTACAGCCACCAGTTCTCTAATTTACAGCCTTGTGTTTCTCTAAAGACTAGTACTCTTGTCTTCAGAGTTTGTAGGTAGTCCTGCTTGAACAAGATAAAACTGTTTACTGTCACATGTCATGTGACCTCTGATTGGACAAGACAGTTTTCATTAGTCCACCAATAGGTCTATCCAGAGTAACCAATGGTAACAGGAAGAGTTTTACTTACCCGGCTCTTGCAGAACTCGATGTGAGACAGCCACAGTTTGATGTCGTCCTGTGAGAGAGATGCTACCTTGTGACAACACATCTACACAATCATATATTTATTTATCATCCTGTGAGAGAGATGCTACCTTATGACAACATATCTACACAATCATGTATTTATTTATCATCCTGTGAGAGAGATGCTACTATATGACAACACATCTACACAATCATGTTTTTATATATCATCCTGTGAGAGAGATGCTACCTTATGACAACACATCTACACAATCATGTATTTATTCATCATCCTGTGAGAGAGATGCTACCTTATGACAACACATCTACACAAGCATGTATTTATTTATCATCCTGTGAGAGAGATGCTACCTTATGACAACACATCTACACAATCATGTATTTATTTATCATCCTGTGAAAGAGATGCTACCTTATGACAACACATCTACACAATCATGTATTTATTCATCATCCTGTGAGAGAGATGCTACCTTATGACAACACATCTACACAATCATGTATTTATTCATCATCCTGTGAGAGAGATGCTACCTTATGACAACACATCTACACAATCATGTATTTATTTATCATCCTGTGAGAGAGATGCTACCTTATGACAACACATCTACACAATCATGTATTTATTTATCATCCTGTGAGAGAGATGCTACTATATGACAACATATCTACACAATCATGTATTTATTTATCATCCTGTGAGAGAGATGCTACTATATGACAACATATCTACACAATCATGTATTTATTTATCATCCTGTGAGAGAGATGCTACCTTATGACAACACATCTACACAATCATGTATTTATTTATCATCCTGTGAGAGAGATGCTACTATATGACAACACATCTACACAATCATGTATTTATTTATCATCCTGTGAGAGAGATGCTACCTTATGACAACACATCTACACAATCATGTATTTATTTATCATCCTGTGAGAGAGATGCTACTATATGACAACATATCTACACAATCATGTATTTATTTATCATCCTGTGAGAGAGATGCTACCTTATGACAACACATCTACACAATCATGTATTTATTTATCATCCTGTGAGAGAGATGCTACCTTATGACAACACATCTACACAATCATGTATTTATTCATCATCCTGTGAGAGAGATGCTACCTTATGACAACACATCTACACAATCATGTATTTATTTATCATCCTGTGAGAGAGATGATACCTTATGACAACATATCTACACAAGCATGTATTTATTTATCATCCTGTGAGAGAGATGCTACCTTATGACAACACATCTACACAAGCATGTATTTATTTATCATCCTGTGAGAGAGATGCTACCTTATGACAACACATCTACACAATCATGTATTTATTTATCATCCTGTGAGAGAGATGCTACCTTATGACAACATATCTACACAAGCATGTATTTATTTATCATCCTGTGAGAGAGATGCTACCTTATGACAACACATCTACACAATCATGTATTTATATATCATCCTGTGAGAGAGATGCTACCTTATGACAACACATCTACACAATCATGTTTTTATATATCATCCTGTGAGAGAGATGCTACCTTATGACAACACATCTACACAATCATGTTTTTATATATCATCCTGTGAGAGAGATGCTACCTTATGACAACACATCTACACAATCATGTATTTATTTATCATCCTGTGAGAGAGATGCTACCTTATGACAACATATCTACACAATCATGTATTTATTTATCATCCTGTGAGAGAGATGCTACTATATGACAACACATCTACACAATCATGTATTTATTTATCATCCTGTGGGAGAGATGCTACCTTATCACAACACATCTACACAATCATACATCAGAACAGTCAATCTTTCAAATAGAAGTACTTACTTGGAATCGCAGGCAGACAAGCTGAAAAAGCACAAAAGGAGATGAACATTATTTGTTTCGAGGGAAGAGGTTTTTATTGAGCATTCAACTCACATGGAACAAAGATGTTTGTGTCAGTCTCGAAGTTGATACACATAAAGTAAATTTGTAACAATTATCTTTATCTTTACACTAAGAGAATATATCCACCTGTTTCACTGAAACACAAGTGGAAAGCAGTCTTTTTGGTTTTCAGAAAACATTTGTTAACCGGGTATTTTTGTGACATGTTAAAGACATGAAGCAGATCGCTGGCATTATCTGAGAAAAAAGCTGCTTTTGTTTTCAGTCTAATCATGCTAATTGAATGATTCAGTACACAATTCAGTACATGTAATGAAGGTATGGATTTCGTAACTTGTAAACTGTATATTTCAAGTTTGAGTGAATGTGTATGGTTTTATGCCACTTTTAGCAACATGCCAGCAACAGTACACCAGGGGACACCAGATATGGGCTTCACACATTGTACACCTGTGGAGACATGAACCTGGATCTTCGTTGTGATGAGTGAACGCTATAACATTTTTGTCATCCGCTGACTAATAACTACATGTATCTGACGGAGCCACTTACCCGGAACAGTTTGTGGATCCGCTGAATAATGGCTACATCAATCTCCAGTCTCTTGTATGTACACCCAGATGCCTAGAACAACATGGCAGGAGTGACAGGGCTGCTGGGCCACAACAAATCAATTATCTGCTGCATTTTCTAAAATGTGATTAATCTTTTTTCGATTACAATTTTATGATGACCATATTTAGCAAAAATAACCTGGGACATAAATAATAATAAACTCAGTTCTTATATGCAATGCAAGCCTAAATATCTCAACAGAGAAAAAAATATTTGGAAGTTTTGAGCATTGTAAGACCTGAGGTGAAGGGACTGAGTTTGTAAAACCGAGGGAAAGCCCACCTAGGTTTAGCCGAGTTTGTCAGGAACCTAATGCAGTATAGGGGAATTTGGGGATGGGTTTATGAAAATACTTGGTGGTCACTGAATGATAAGTTCAAGTTCACCTGTCAACTTCTCACTTTTGTCAGAATTATCTGATGACCAAATCATCAATTGTTGTGTCTTTATCCATGTTATCAGTGAATGAAGGATTTCATTGTACCTACTGTCATAGCAATGACAGCTCATAGTCCCTTATGCGACAACTCAACTTGTAAAATTACAAAATAAAATCAAGAAGAAGGGCTGGGACGGGTAACTCGGGTATCCAGGTCGGATGAGTACTGAGTAGGACCCGGGTACCCACAGGACTACCGGTACCCATGGTTAGTCACGTAATATATTGTTTAATGACAAAAATTATCTCGAACTCTATGGTTACACTACAAGTCACTAATGTCACATTTCTTTCTAACTATGCACCCGTTCCTTCTGATTTTTCATATGGTTGAATAAAGACATGACTTAACACAACTTCTGTGTATAAATGACCAGATTGTCAAATACAGGGATGTGTGCAGGTTGTCCCGAAACAAAGAGGAAAAGTCTAGGGGGGTCAGGGGGCATGCACCCCCAGAAATCTTTTAAACATTTGAATGCATTTTAAGCAATTTTGGAGTACATTCACACCAAGAAATGGAATAAGTCAATGGCAGAAGTCAATAAGTCAAATAAACAAGATGGCAGATGCAGTAAAATTTCGAAGTTAAATCAGTACTTTTAAAAAATCGGGCATAGCTTCCGCGCACCTGGCTACCCGCCAGGTCTGGGAGCAACACTGCCATAAACTTCAAGCCCCATCCCCCCAGACACAAGGACAACTGTCACAAGTAAATTTGGACTCATCCCAGCCCTATCAGGGAGTTGCAACAAAATGAATACATGACATGCTCTAATGTAATATTCACTTCAGAGAGCCTCATTTAATTACTGAACAACTATTGATAATTTTGTCTGATACCAACCTCTCTCCTCTTCTCCACCAGCTTGAGAACATTCACTTCATACTGCAACACAAAGGACATGTAGAATATAATCCATCTTCCCAAAGGCAAGGGAGTTAACTGACATAAAAGTCCAGTTTCCACCCTTGCAAAACTAGACTGGTATTATGGAGTTACATTTTGGCTGGACTAATGAGTCTATGCTTTGTCCAATCAAAATCGCGCAACGAAATTGAAATCTGGTTCATAAACTGTCGTTGAGATTTCGGTCAGTTGAAGGATTTGCAAGGCATGTGCAGCTCAAACTTGTTGTCAACAGATATTTTCCAAATCTTTTTATGTTTTGAATCAAGGTGCTCACGTAATTTGATGCACTTCATGATGTAAGACCCGTCTTATCACAATATAGATCTTGATTGTCGATCAGATTGTCTTGACTGGGCGCCATCATTTTGTTTGAAGCAAATGCAAGTGATACAAGAGGTGGAATCTGAATGGTCCATAGGGGAAGCTTAGAAGGGACATAACTCGTAATAGCCACTGATGGCGCTATGATCGTACCCAGGAATTCCAGCCTAGTTCGGCAAGGGTGGAAACTGGACGTTTAAAGTCAGTAAACTCTCTTGCCTTGGAAAGATGAATATAATCAGGATAATTAATTGATTTCTCAAAAGTCATCATCAATGTTTCATCAATGTTTCTGTAACTTTTCTCCATGTGGTTTCACTTGAGGACAACTGCTGTATAGATCTATACCCACAATACCAAAGGACTATACATGTTTATTCTTAGTCTTGGCTGCAGTATATGTGCTCATTGATGACTACATTCACTACATAATAACGCAAGCTACCTGATACTACTTACCCGAACACTACACACTATGGCAATACACTACAGTTACCATGGTTACCTTGACCATCAACAGGCCATGTAGCAAGATATGGTCATCCATCACCAATATTGCTTGGGGTGTTTGTATATTGCTAGTACTTCACTGTTGACACAGATCTGTGCATTCAGCGTTCAGTCAAATCATGCCCAATATAGTGTGAAAAATGGAAAAATAATATGATTTGTTTTCATAGAATTAAAAATTAAATTGAACTATTGTACATTGTCCAATGGCAGAATGTTAATTGAAAATGGATTATCTCTTTTACAATTTCAATAGTTTGTTTTTGAGAAAAGGTATTTTACATGTGTAAGCATTTGATAAGAGAAGGAAATGAGGGCAAATGAATTTTCACTGTAGACATGGTAGACAACTGTAAAACTCAATGGTATTGCATGTTTAGAAAATGTCTGACGCCCTGGTTCCATGACACTCCAGATTCCTGGCTCACCTGTACATATTGCAGGAAGTCTTCACGACACTTGGTCCGGCGCCGCAGCTTGTACTCATAGGATTGGCGCTTCTTGAGGATTTGTCTACAACACACATCAGATAAATGTAAAATCAATCAATGATTGAGGGATGAGGAGAATTTGTAAAACATCCCAAAACTCGTAGACACAATGAATTTGTTGAAAAGCCCAGAGTGAATTCGTAGATGCATTCTTTTATATTGGAATTGAATGATAACAATTAATATTATCGAGAACTTAGCAGAATATTGATGTGTCCTTTATATACCTGAACAACAATTTTTAGGTACAAGAAGGCATATGATTGGTTGGATCACTTCCAAACTGAAAGACACATTTTCACTGGTTGCAACTTTTGTACATGTTTCTGAGTGTTTTTTTTGCAGGTTCTTTTGTGAAAAAAATCTTAAATGTAAAATATGGCAAGTATTAGTATTTCTTTTGAAGGATCCTTTGTATTAATCATGTTAATAAATACTGTTATTAATGAATAATCTGGAAGGTATATCCAAGCTGAGAAGGACAAGAGGATCATTCAGTAAATGGTGAGTGGAGTTGGGGATAACGGTACATGCACTATTAATTGATAGACGATCAGAGGTTCCCTTTCTACTTCTATGAAAGATTGACATCTTTTCCCAAATGTTATTGTTTTGTCTACGAGTTCATGGAAGTAGTTCACTTTACTGGGCACCCTTTTGCAGATTTCAAATTGTCCCGTGTGAAGGATCAAACTGATATTGCCAGCTACGCTTAGCTAATGAGTTAAGCAATTAGCCTACACTTTACCTTGGGTGCTACCACAAGGAATTAGTGCTTGTTTACCAAGTCATCAACACCCAATTGTTTACCTCAATGTGAATACCCATACCCTACCTCACAACCCTAAGGATCGTAACGGGGTGTTTGATAGGCAAGTGGTGCCCAACCCTAAGGATCATGAGGGGTGCTTGATCAGAATGGGGATCCAAGGGCTAGGGATAGAGTTTGGGGTACAGTACCCTGACACAACTAACCCAAAGGATCAAAGAGCCATGAGGCATCTGTGAGGCGAGAGCAACAGCTGACAGCCTGAGCCAATATTAGCGATAAATATAAGTTGCGCGTAGTAAACTGCATTGATGTCGAGTTCACCATGAATTTCTGTCTAACAGTTGGAAGTGTCTATGTATTTTCTAGGAATTAATTTGTCTACTAGATCTAGTTCACCTTCAACCATTGAATGATACGATACATATACATGACAACATTCACAAAATCAAGTTTTGTGACACATGGCATTTTGCGACTTCGGAAAATTGACAGTCATTGTCAACCTCGGCGTCTTCATTGTGACAGAAAAAAAGTCATATTGGTTTTAACACAATGTGTACCCCTTCCCAGTTCACTCGATCTGTACATAATGTATCATATGGTTGACACTTCGCACACATTGACACAACTTTTACAAGTTCTCACCTTGTTTCTGCTTTAGTGAACAGTTTTACTCTTTCCATTTGCTCCAGTTCTGGAAGCATTTCCTCAATACTTTGTTGTACAAACTCTGCCATTTTGCAAGTTGTCTTATTTGTACAAAACTCCTGGTATAAGAACGTAAAAACACAAGTAAATAAACCACCCCACGTGTGTTTATACCGGAAGATGATTAAAATCCATGGACCACTATAAAATACAAACTAAGTGGAAACGAAATATGCTTTGTGAACACCTTCAACATCTATAGCATATATACCGGTATTTGCCAGTATTAATTCAAAACATAATCAGGTATATATAACGCATCATGTTAGGTCAGATGTTTGAAAAGAAAATGTAAATGACCAACTCTGTCAGTGTGTCAGTGTAAGTAAACCCAATCCCAATTTTGGATATATTTTTTCATGGACGGTCCCGGTTAAAATTCACGGAAGTGAGCAGCAGCTGACAACAAACGCGGCGGTTTCAAATCTGGCAGTGATCATGTCTAAACGAAAACAGGATAAACAGAAATCCGACACAAATATTTTAACTGAAGAAGGGTAACTACTTGAGGCCTCTGCCATCATCCTAAACAAAGGATAATATTCTAAGGATTCCCTTACCCAAAGGAACACGTAGGGGTTCCACATTTTAGGACAAAAGGCGACTAAAGAATAAAGATAAAGATAAGAAATGTTCAGATTTACGAAAAAAATATATGTGGCACTGGGAGTAATACAATTTACCAAGTAGATTCTACACCTTTTTCATTTCGACCTTACCCGTTAGTAAAGTTACAGAATCTCACCTTGGCGTCCTTTGTAAACGAAATAACCAGTGTCAAGGGTGGAACACCAGCGTCAGTGGCAGAGAGATTATTTATGTTTTCATTTGATTATAGCATCTTGGTAACCAATGACAAGTACATTGTAATGGTATATTCTGAGATTGCTTGATCTCACCCAAACAATTTCTCCTCTGAGAACCAGTTTTGGATGATAAAAAACAAAATATACCCCAAAATAAAAATGGTGGCCTAAGGTTTGCGTATACTAGATAGTCCATACCCACAGAGATTTGGCTAACTTACCCTGTTCTTAAAGTTCTTGTCAGATTCGTACTTGTTTTGGAGCCTTTATACTTTATTTGGCTGACCCGTACCCAAACTTGGAGGACTCATACCCATTTATAAATTAAATCAAGATGTCTGAAATGGAACCAGGGACCATTGCTATTTGCGCATTGAGCATGTCCCTCAGTGATGTGGATTTTGTGCTATATAAATAGCATTATTATTATCATCATCATCATCATCATTATTATTGAACAATCTGCCCATGAAATCCGAATAGCTGAAAATATGACAAATTATAAAGACCTGTGTCTTCAAGGGGGCCTTTGACTAGATTAATCATGGTCTAAGTGCATTTGAGCAGTTGTTAATTGGAAAATGCGCTTTACAAATTCTTAATATAATTTAATTTAATTCTCTGTTGCTGATAGTTGATTGAATTTTGTTCGTGATGGATCCATGTAAATGTTGCTATTGTGTGTCTACACAAATGTAACTATGTAACAGGGAGCGGTATTTATTTAAGCCAGTTAGGCCTGTTTACCAATCCCCTTCAAGTAAAGTAGGTGCGGTCGGGTAGCCTTGTGGTTAAAGCATTCGCTTGTCACGTTGAAGACCCGGGTTCGATTCCCGACATGGGTACAGTGTGTGAAGCCCATTTCTGGTGACCCTCAACGTGATATTGCTGGAATATTGCTAAAAGTGGTGTAAAACCAAACTCACTCACTCACTCACTCACTCACTCTAACCTTTGGGTACTAGTCTGCCAATAAAGTATGGGTACAGATCTCCAAGGATACCGAATATCCAGTTATAAGTAAAGGTAAGCATGTGAGCTGAGTTAGTTAGCATGGTTAGCGAGATGACAGGCAGCTGCACTGAATAAACTGGGCTCTTGCCACAATGCTTCTTCTTGTGAACAGTTGACGAATCATGGAGAAGACCCCAGAATCTGCACGTGTTTCAGGGGCAGCCTAGTGGTTTAAAGCGTTTGCTCGTCACGCTGAAGACCCGGGTTCGATTCCCCACATGGGTACAATGTGTGAAGCTCATTTCTGGTGTCCCTGTCTTGATATTGCTGGAATATTGCTAAAAGCAGCGTAAAACCATACTCACTCACTCACATGTAACAATAACCCAAAGATATCCAGGACACATGCAAAGTGGTGGTGGTGGCAACAGCAAAGTGATGCAATTCCACTGTATGGCAGAAAAATATACTCTAGTAAAGTGTGTACATCTAATTGGCGTTTTCTTGGATTTTATTCTTGCCGAATATAAAAGTATGATATATTCAGGAATGTTTACTTTTGTCTTATCATCCATATAGGCCCCGCTACTTTTTGAACCCAGAGTCTGTCAGTCACCACCTCTACTGCTCAATATGCCAGGAGGTATTCTCAGAACCACAGAGGGCGCCATGTGGTCACAGTTTCTGCAAGAAGGTACAACCAGACTTGTGTCCATTCGGTTTGTTTGTGAAATATCCTGGTCATTAGGCATGGTAGGAGGCCATAAAAATAAACTAATAAAAAATTAGATATATATTTTTTAAGTTATCTCATTCATTCATTCATTCATTCATTCATTCATTCATTCATTCATTCATTCATTCATTCATTCATTCATTCATTCATTCATTCATTCATTCATTCATTCATTCATTCATTCATGTGAACAGTATGTACTTAGCTTGTCTTGTCAGTCTGGCAGTTTGACCTATTGTCCAAAGTTCTATGCACAATACTGGTCCTCTCTGTGTGTTATCTTGTTTCAAAGGAAAAGGTTAGTGGTATATAATTATACATTGATTGACATTAGCCATGTGTTATTGCAGTGTATCCTACCCTGGCTGAAACATGGACGGACCTGCCCCGAAGACAGGTATGGATGCACTGGCCTGTAGAAGTGGTAGATGGTTACACGGGGTTGGGGGGAGATTGAGGGACACAGATACAAGCTAACAGAGCAAGGAATTCAACCTAGGATCAGTGACCTGTTCCACAAAGTGATCTTTGCGCTATCACTGTCTTAACTCTGTTAAAGTATGGCAGTTCCTATTGTCTTAGCGCTACGACTGTCGTCAGGTTATGTTAAAGTATGGAGTTCCTATCGTTTTAGTGCTATGACTTGTAAGGCTATTCTAAAGTATGGTAGTTACAATCGTCTTTGTCCTGACTAAGATGGCTTTGTAGAACAGGACCTGTTTTAGTCTGTATATTTGCAAGACCTGAGCATCAAACTGTACCAACAGCACATAAAGGACAAAGTATGTGGGATGACTTATGTTTACTATAAATGGGCATTTCTTTTTTCAATCGAAACTTATCATGGTGATTAAGTGAAGAAAATCTGTCCAAGACCCTCAAAGTTGGGCTCAGTTGATATTATTGGCATTCCAGTCTTATTGTGTGTTTGTATAGGATACTTTGCAACCGATAAAACCCTGAGGGATCTTTTTTACATTGAGCTGAATATTGGATGTAACATTACTTAAGTGGAAGATCCTGCTGTTGAAACATTCTTTTACTTTTGCAAATTCTATGTACAAAACTTACAAGAAGAGGGCACTTTCTTTCCTACTGACATTAACTATGTACTAACGACACTGTGGTCTAAGGTGCTTAAGTTCCTGGTGCAGAGTTGCACCCCCTAGCCCTGCCAGGATCCACTGATTGTGGGTTTGATGTATGTTCAAAGCAATGTTGAGTCACTCCATCACCTTGATGGTGTAAATGACCACCATAACAGCTGTTGTTTTGTACAGGAAACCGTTGCAAGCCCACCAGCTCCATCACGACTTCATCCTGGAGAACATCATTGGGGACCAGATGGTACATACCTTTATATGTGTCTTGTTTAATGCAGAACTCAGCAATATTCCACCAATATAATTATCAAAGTAGAATGACATGTAATGAACCAAGTCACCTTGCCTGACCATCCAATCCTTGAAGTTGCCTTGTATGACAAGCACACGTTGCCGGGGACAAATTCTACCCTGGATCCCCATGGTGATGTACATTTCGTGTGTTTCGTATAATACAATTCTTAGAAGCTGCGTATCAGGCCACTACAAAGTTACCATAGTAAAGGTCAAGGTCAGACTACATTGAACTGCCCCATTTGGTATAGAGTGCCAAATGTTTTGCATGTTGGATTATATCGTTTTTATACAGTGTTACATCCCCATTCTTTTATGATAAACACAGGGATTCTTTCACCAAAGCTTTATATTAAAAGAGCCATCCTCATCTCACTTACTCACACAGGAATTCTCTTGCTCATGTATGCAGCAATAGAAACCAACAGTGTTAGTCCACTGGTCCTAATAATGATAACATATAGCCAAACCCTTATAAGGGGCAAATTTCTACTAGACCTTGTGATACCATAACCCATAACTATTTGGCAGTTTGGCAAGGACTATAGGACTAGTACTAATTTCTAATACTGTGTGCTGTAATGTTATTGGATGGCTATTTTTAGTATCATGCTATTCAAATTGGGCTCAAAACAAAGCTACGGAAGCAAATGGGATATGGAGATATCATGCATACAAATTACGAACTCAATGTATACCATGACAGATTGACTGTAGTAATATGAAAAGATTGGGTGTTCCTTAACTTCTTTTGAGTAGTATATATTGTTTTTATCAGACTCACTGTAATTGGACCAGTGAAGATCCGGGGTAGAATAGGTCTTCAGCAACCCATGCTTGCCGAAAGAAGCTGTCATTGCACGTCATTGTATCCCATTTGCTTGGATCGATGCTCATGATGTCAATCATTGGATTGTCTGGCCCAGACTCGATTATTTACAGACCGCCATCATATAGCTGAAATATTGCTGAGTGCGGCGTTAAATAACAAACAAATCATAGTAATTGTTGTTGTCTCTAATTGTTGAAGGAGTTGCAATAACACCAGCTGCTTCTGTCTGCCAGGTGGCCTGTCCACACAGAGGTGGTGGGTGTGAGTTCGTGGGACAGCTGCAGCAGCTAGCATCACACAAGAAACACTGTGACTTCAACCCATACAACCTCCCAGACTTTGTGCTGAAGAACACACCTCACTGTCTGACTACCCCACCCTGTGTGGAGCTGGATGAAGACGTTGTGCCATCCCCGGGAAAGCCGTCTCTGATGTTGCGGTTGTTCCGTTCCGGGGAGTCTCAGAAGCAGCTGCTCAAGTCCATGTTTGATGGCAAGGAGAACAAGCCTTCCTGATAGACCATTTCCTGACCAACCCTTCTATATGTATTTATCTAAACTGATTTCTCTGCAGATTCTATAAGAACATAGATTAATCATTATCACTTGGGTTTGATAAGTTAGAAAAAGTAGTTTTGCAGCTCAGGGAAATAAATATATGGGACTTTGTCTATAACTGTTTCTGTAATTTGAGTAGTTCCACTTGTTGGGAGTCTTGTGTGTTACTCACACCTCACTTTATATCTCCCAGAGGGGGCAGTGGTGGCCTAGTCGTCCAAGGATCTGCAATACCCAGTGTAGAGTGGCATCCTTTGGGCATGCCAGAAACCTGTGATTGTGGGTTCATATCCTGGATTGCATGATCATGTTTCTAGGTTTATCAGCACCATACCTGTGCTTGTGAGTTTCAACAAAGTGGTATCACTTTGGGTTTTCTTCCCACACGAAGCTGACACAACGTGATATAACTAGAATACTGTTCAAAGCACAGTTAAGGATCTTTCATGCAATCGTAATCAGTAAACTGGTAGAATCTGCCACAATACCTATAAATAACCTGTAATGTGCTGTTGTGTCCATCATGTGACATATAGTACTCAATGTTTGATAGGGATAATGAGATAGGTCATTCTATTTAAATATACACCTGACATATTGATTTTGAATATCATGGAAAGATAAAAAAATATCCCTATGAAAAATTGAGTGGCATATTGATCCAGTTTGGCGCATCTCTTGGTTCTTACAGTGTGAAGTACTCATGGTGGAGACCTGAACAGCGATTGCACCAGGCCTGGTATCTAATACTAAACATTTTCATATAAATGTACATGTAATACTTTGCTATGGTCAGGGTAGTTCTGTCTCCTTGAGTATTGTGACATTGACACACTCAGCTCTGGGTCACCTATCTATGGTTATATTGAAGCAGTATGAACATGTTCATGATGGGGCTCCTTAGGTTTTAGCCTGCCTCCTGAGTTGTGAGCATCTGCTCTACGGCAGCACTACAGTATTGTACAGGCATGAGAGGTTTTCACAAATCTGGGGATATCATTACATCAAGGATCACCTTTGTTATACATACCATTACAATACATGTATACTTCATATAGTTCCCCAGATCCTTGACAAACCTTATTGAAGAAAAACATGTTCATCCCAGATTCTATAGAGATTTGTCTTTCTCAGAACACATACATAGTATACACATTTCTGCCAACATTTGTATATAGGATGTTCATGATGTACAAGTGTGCTAAGTTATTGTATTCAAAAGTATTCAGATGTTTTTCACTGGTACATGTTAATTGTAATAAATCAAAGATACATCATCTTTCCTATTTGTGTTTTCTGTCCCCAGAAGTCTAAAGTGCTTAAGTTCACCGAGCAGAGTAAGCACCCTTTGCTGTCAGGATCTGCTGAATTTGGATTCAAATCCCTGACCCAATCTGATTATAATCTTGGGTTTGTCAGCATCATTGCCATGGACTGTTTGTTCCATGCAGGGATATTGCCGATGCAATGTCCTATTTTCACTCACTCACTCATTCCAAGCAGCACTGAAACCAAAGTCATGTTTGTGTTTGAGATGTACTGCGACCATCAATGGGGTACAGTTTCAGTAAAATGATGCAGTCCCTTTCATGGTGACTAAATAATGCTAAAATGCTGATGGTTGTTATATGACAGAAATATTACCAATAAAGCGTTACCATGATTACATATAAGCTTCCTCACTAAAATGCTTAGTTACAAAAACAACAAACTCTTAAAATGTTTTGACAATTTATGTCATAAAATGCCAAGTATGCAACCAATACATATTCCTGGTGACAGGTGTCCCACTTTTCTTAAAAAACAAACAAATGAAATAAGTTAACAAGCATACTTTCACTGCAGTCAATTTCTCACTGACATTCATATTTATGATAATGCTTAACAAAACAGTCTCAGTTCAAAGACAACGACAATAGCTGAAACACACAACAAAGAAAAACTCAATTCTGCTTTGACAAATTCAAAGTAGTGTCTCAAGGTACAACATTGAGAAAAAAGTCACGTGCCTGAGAACAAATATTATGTTTAGCGATAATATATTTTACAATCAGCACTTCAAATGATGTGACAATCGTCGTTCCTGATCACAGTCCATTGTGAGTGGTTGTGTTTGATGGGGGGGGGGGGGGGGGGGGGGGGGGGGACCCTGGAGCCTGTAAAGAGTAATGATGACCCCCTTACCTTACTCCCCCCACCCCACCTCCCATCCCACCCCCAGTTATATAATGATGATTGGTGTGCCATTGCATGAACAGAACCATCACCTGGAGACCATCCTTTCCCCAGTTCATGGCAATATGACATTATAAGTTTGTAATACTGAACATTAAGTCTCAACACTTGCAAGTTTAAGGAAATGTATCAAAGAAAAATGAAAGTTAGTAGCTCAAAAATACATTAAGTCACACCTCTTGTACATAAACAAACATGAGAATAGTATTTTACAATTAATGTTCATACCACGTTACTGTCACCCTAATATATACTTGTATCACTTTGTACAGGACCAACCCATTCCATACTCGCATCATAGCACAGAGTAGTGATAACACCATAGCTGTAGCGATAACACCATAGCTATAGCGATAACACCATAGCTATAGCGATAACACCATAGCTATAGCGATAACACCATAGCTGTTGCGATAACACCATAGCTGTAGTGATAACACCATAGCTGTAGCGATAATACCATAGCTGTAGCAATAATACCATAGCTATAGCGATAACACCATAGCTGTTGCGATAACACCATAGCTGTAGCGATAACACCATAGCTATAGTGATAACACCATAGCTATAGCGATAACACCACAGCTATAGCGATAACACCATAGCTGTTGCGATAACACCAAAGCTGTAGCGATAACACCATAGCTGTAGCGATAACACCATAGCTGTAGCGATAACACCATAGCTATAGCGATAACACCATAGCTGTAGCGATAACACCATAGCTATAGCGATAACACCATAGCTGTTGCGATAACACCATAGCTGTAGCGATAACACCATAGCTGTTGCGATAACACCATAGCTGTAGCGATAACACCACAACTGTAGCGATAACACCACAACTGTAGTGATAACACCATGGCTTTAGCGATAACACCATGGCTGTAGTGATAACACCATAGCTGTAGCGATAACACCACAACTATAGCGATAACACCACAACTATAGCGATAACACCATAGCTATAGTGATAACACCATAGCTGTAGCGATAACACCATAGCTGTAGCGATAACACCATAGCTATAGCAATAACACCATAGCTGTAGCGATAACACCATAGCTGTAGCAATAACACCACAACTGTAGCAATAACACCACAACTGTAGTGATAACACCATAGAACACATCTGTAGTGAACACCACACACCAGAGTTGAATACACAACTCCGTACAAACACAGCTGCAGTGATGACATCAACATGACATATCACAACAGGTACAACTTATAAAACGCCTCATCAACTGGACAAAGTGACTGTAACACATCCCATGCGGATATAGCTACATATTGTTATTATGTCAAACACATGGTGAAATACATTTATGACATATTTAGTAAAAAAAAGAATATTTTTCAATATGCATATAAACTAGAGTGGCTATCAATATATCACATTGCTTGTGGATATTTAATCCAAAAGAATATCACAATGATAAGAGCACAAGGCTGACAGCCATGGATCAGATACAGAACTGATTTTCCATACAGCACCGGAGGCCCAGTTGTCTAAGGCGTCACAATTTGCTATGCAGAGTTGCGTTCCTTGGCGTGCCAGAAACCTAAGATCATAGGTTTGAATCCTGGTCCGCCCTAATTTCTAGGTTTGTCAGCACCATAACCACACTAATGGGTCTCACCAAAGAGGTAAATGACTTGCATCACTTCAAGCTCTCCTCCCACATTAAGCGGACGCCGTGACATAAATGCAACACTGTTTAAAGCGGCGCTAAACCAAATTCACTCACTCACTCTAACTTGACAGACTCACAATGTGATAACATCTCATGTTAAAAACACAGGCACTCAACATCAACAATTTATTTAATCTATCGCTATGAAAGATATTATATTTAACTGTGAAATGATTCAAGAATAATTCATGTCAATACAAACAAGTAATTGTTAAAAACTACTTGTTTGTTTGGACATAAATAACTTTTATTCATTCTCAGTTAAAAATAATATCAAAACAAAATGGGGAATAGTGGTATATTTCAACAATAATTGGTGCTAAATGCCTGTGTCAAAACATCCCCTCCCTCCTCTCCAGTACTTTGATAGTTATACGACGCACCAGTAGAGAAATCTAAATGTTTTCCACAAAAATACTCCATGACAATAGATCATGATATGCACTCTTATCACAACCTGCCATATGCTGAATGAAATAGGGCAAACATTGTACAAAACATGTGTTCTTGCGAACAGCACAAACATATATATAGTTGGTGAGACCCTGTTGGTACAAACTGGACAGAGCATGTATACCAAGGCAAAACTTACTTAAGTAGACGTAAGCATATATCTTTCTTCAAGTTGACAATGGTATCTATCTTCATGTTGACCTATGGGTATCTATCTTCAAGTTGACCTATGGCATCTATCTTCAAGTTGACTATGGGTATCAATCTTCATGTTGACCTATGGCTATCTATCTTCAGGTTGACCTATGGTATCTATCTTCACGTTGACCTATGGGTATCTATCTTCACGTTGACCTATGGGTATCTATCTTCAAGTTGACCGACTGTATCTATCTTCATGTGGACCTATGGGTTTCTATCTTCAAGTTGACTTATGGTATCTTTCTTCAAGTTGACCTATGGTATCTACTTTCAAGGAAAGCTATGCAACTGTCTAAATCTTCAAGTAGGCCTTTGGTACCTAACTTCAAGTTGACCTATGATATTTTATCTTGCAGTAAATATATAATATCAATATTCAAGTATACCTTTGGTATCTTTCTTCCTGTAGGCTCGTGGTACAATACATTTCTGTAAACGACATATGATTGACATGGTTTCAGCATGTTCAGAGCAGCTTAACTCTGGATGACAAGACATTAATAGCAGTGTATGGACAATTTGACGTCATTTGTGCTGGTAATATATGGTAGTATCTGTAACACATGCAAGACAGTATCACTTGCAATCTCTCCTATCTATCACAAGCTTAATGAACAGACTGCACCAGGATCACTAGCTTACAGAATCAAAAGCATGGCACATTAGCGCCCTACAGTACAGGTAAATACAGGTAAGTACAGGAAGTCTGTATAAATAACACAATTGTTTGGAACTTACTGTGACCTTAAGACCAGTTTCAGGTGCTAACTGTGGTCTGATCACGGGCATCCCGAATATGCCTGGAAGATAAACCTCCATCATGTGCCTAGGCCATTAACTCCCTGAACATTTTCCTGAACTGATAAGCTTCCTAAACTCTGTAAACCAAGTGGGCCTCACAAACTCCCAGAACTAAATGTGCCCTAATCACTAACTTTCTGAATTAACACTTCTTCCCAAGGCAAGGGCATTAACTGACTATAAAAGTCCAGTTTTCACCCTTATCAAAATAGGCTGGAATTTCCAGGTTCGATCGTAGCGCCACCAGTGGCTATTATGAGTTATGTCCATTCTATGTCCCTCCTATTGACCAATCAGATTCCACATCTCATATCACTTTCATTTGCTTCAAACAAAATGGCCGCACCCAGTCATGACAATCTGATCAGTAATCAAGATCTAAACTGTAATATAACAGGTCTTACCTCACGAAGTGCATCAAATTACTTGAGCACCTTGATTAAAAACATGAAAACATTTGCAAAAATATATGTCGACACCAACTGGCGCTAAACATGCTTTGCAAACCCTTCAGTCGACCGAAATGTGCATGTTGTATCAAAGTTGTTTACGAATTGGATGTCCAGTTCGTTAAGCGATTTTGGACTATGCATACACTTGTAGTCCAGCCAAAATGTAACTCTGGAATTCCAGCCAAGTTCGGCAAGGGTGGAAACTGGACATTTATAGTCAGTTAACTCCCTTGCATCGGGAAGATGGAATAAATGCGGATAACTAACTTTTTGAACTTATGTGCATGATCACTAAATTATGTGCCTGGTACTAGTTGGACCACTAGCTACTCCGACTACATGGATCACTAGCCGTTTCCTTCTTTCTATCACAGTCTGCATAAGGGGACATATCTATCTTCTTCCATCATAAAATCAAGGTAGGATATCGGAGTTTAATTGAATAATTTTGTACACGCCCCTGTCCTACTATTTCTATTCTATCACAATACATTGTGGCCGTCCCAAAAGCATTGCTCCCTGGCTCTGTCTCGAGAACCGCTGGGAATGTGATGTGTAGAATCCCTTCACTGTCGGCGGCTGACGCCCCGTCATGGTCATGACCTGCCATGTAGGCCGACACACATGAGTGTCTGTCGATGACACGCAGGATATCCTCATAGTTCCAGCACAGGCTGGAATAGTCTACGCATGCTTCAGGAAATATGGGGATGTGACCTGGAACACACACAGTACATATGAGACCCTGCCCTGGGTGCTGTGAAGATAGTGAGTGAGTGAGTATGGTTTTACGCCGTTTTTAGCAATATTCCAGCAATATCACGGCGGGGGGCACCAGAAATGGGCTCCACACATTGTACCCATGTCGGGAATCGAACCCGGGTCTTCGGCATGACGAGCGAACGCTTTAACCACTAGGCTACCCGACCGCCCCTGCTGTGACTGATTATTCAAGTAAGATATTACAGTGCGATCAAACAACCACACAGGCAATAATAACTTGTAAAACTGTAATTTGTATTTAAAGATGATTACTAACCTCAGTCTTTCATGTAACAAAGGTTATTTTGATAAACAGAGGACAAGGCCACAACGAAACCATTATTGACCTCACATCTTTTACAAATATACTACCGACAAAAACAAATTGGAACTGATGAAATGATAAAGAAGATGGTGAAGGTGTAATGATGTTAAATTTCTGAAAAATTAATTTTGAGCGTGCAGATCATTATTCAGGTGTCCACCATGTTGGTCGATACATGCATGACACCTTGATAACAAACTGTTGATTACCGGTATTTAAAAAATCAGCCATTATGCCTATTGATATATAATTGTTTCAAATCTGCTGATCATGCTGATCTGTGACCAAGGTTTACAAGACATACTCACCAATAACAATAACGTTTTCTCTGTTAGAGTCTGCTTCCAATAGAACTTGCTCAAGCCATTCAAGTTGCCCACTAGTAAGCCCTCCGTTAAACTCCACAAAGCGTCTGTCTGTTCCCATTCCATGTGGCTGATTTTTATCTGCATTCGGATTTCTCTCTAAGATTCTCTTTGCTTCATCGTGTTCAGGAGTATTTTCAGGAGTACCGATAACACTCAAGTCATAGCAGTCGAGAGCTACAATGCGCAGTGCAGGGGAGGCAAGAAATGTGTAAAATGCCTTCCCTGCTACTCCCTTACAGTTGACACGCGCTGCAGAGTTGAGGGCGGATTTAAGCAGGAAATCTTGAGAGAAGTTGTAACATTCATGATTGCCTATAACATGATAAACAGATTTTCTTAGGCTTGCCAAGGGTGCCATGACCGCCATTAGGGCAGTTCTAGATGCATCATCCTTCTTGTTTTTTCCATCTATAATGTCCCCTAACTGTAGGACAAAGTCAACCTTGGGTTGACAATCTCTCCAGTAGTTTACTGCATTTTTCAGCAGGTTCAACGAGTTTCTGTAGTATCTCTGACGGGTACCCTGGAAATTATAACTGTCATCGATATCAGCATACTGAATATCCGTTATGATGCCAAAAGTAGGGGCAGGAAGAGGCTTTGTTGATGGGGAAGACATCGCTCACACCTGCAATCATGGCAACATCAACTAAAACATAACATTAAAAAAGCAAACAGTTATCAAATTCCACAAAACATATTTCTCTATTACTGGGGGAAAACATTTTGTGAAAACTATTTTGAAATTGTCTTAACAGAAGCCTACATTGACATGCAAAAAGGATCAGTAAACATGGTAAACGTAGACAATTAAAATTAAATAAACAAAGCATTAAAAGATAGCATATGCTACTGTCAAAATCAAAGAGTCTTAATAAACGTTCCCAGATGTTGTTTGCCAGAGGCAGTTCTTTTATCTTGGACTGTATTTTGGCACATGTAAGTCTCAGGTGTTCAATATTTTAAATATAACATCATTTGAAGTATGTTCATGTAAAACATTGAGCTTTCATTATGTTAAGGAGTGGGACTACCCGTATACTACTTTGTTTGGTAGATAAGCTGTTCTATTACGATATACAGAAAGTGATGGTGTAAAATTGCTGACAATAGTACATAACATCGTTTGCTCATGTTGATAATATAGTATCAGTCGGATAGCAAGTCTCAAGATCGTTTTTGCCTTTCAATAATCTGGCTTTGTGTCTCCTACACTATTCTATCATGAGTTTGGTGATAGGATTAGCAGCCAACAACGTCTTACAATTGTAGGTAATTACGCACTTAGCCACTGGAACTCGTATCTTACCTCTGTGGAATTCACAACACCGTCTATACGCACCATTAAAGAATACACAGCAAAGAGCATATCTACGAGCGTTGACGCAAGGGCCCCTTTTTTTTATTATTATGGGAGACGTTATATAAACGCATAGAAGTGCTACAAAAACGCAGTAACACTAGTATAGACCATTATTCATATACTTCACCATCTCAGATGTCAGATCGTGCAACGTTAAAATAACACTTACTGATTAGTGTATGACCGTCTCACCCGGGGCCGTTTCCAAGGCTAAGATTAAATCGAGCGAACGTGAAAGACCTGTAATTTTCGCTACTATTACACCTGAGATCACCGTTTTCTCATGACATTCTCAGAACAAAATACCGATATTTGTTTGCTGTTCGTTTTAAGAACTGACACCGTGTCAGACAACGTACAACGTATTGCGTTTGACTTACAGACTTACAACATGACAGGAAATTTCTACACCGGAAATGAGAACATTTCTAACTTTATCCTTCGCGAATGTCTCAAGGGAGGCTACTCTGGAAATGCTAACACAACAACACGTTAAAAACGTCACATGGACTAATGATACTAGTATATGAATGTATCTTAAAGTAAAGTATAACAACGGCATCTTAACAGAATCTTAACGTTAATAACACTAAGCACATAAATTTTCGCGAAAACAGCTACTGAAGGTCAAGCGAAAACCGCACCTTATTTTAATCATAAAGATAAAAACGATTGCTGTAAATAATTCAAATCTCGTATCCAGTGCCCCCTGGTGGTGATGAAAATCCAAGATATACAGCATTGTTGCAATTGACCCTGAATAAATTACTGTGATAATTCGTATAAATGTAACAGATAATTATGATATATGGAGTTTAGATTGATATCATGAAGTATTTCCATCATGTTGGTGGCCACCAGGTGGCGCCGCTGAGGTGGATCCATATCCAGCCATGTTCGGAATGGATCAATGTATAAGTGTGCCAAGTTTGGCGCTTTTCACCCAAAGTGCAAAATTTTGACAACACCCAACCCAACCAATAAGGTCAATGTCATCTGTTGATTCTATTTTTGTCACTATATTTCAACCATGTTTCACAGTTCTTCACATATTTTAAACACGTATGAGCTATTTAATAATAATAATAACAACAACAACAACAATAACGATAATAGTTCTAAGTAAATTTGTTATGCGTTTAACTCCATACACTAGGTGAATGCTCACAGCGCTATATGAAACAGGGTAAAACTCTGCTTATACAAGATCATAGATACATGACAAATAGATGTGGCAGCTGGTGTTGAATGTCTTGAGATGGGACTGGCAAATTGTTAGAGTTTCTGCTTCTTCACAAGTGATGGGAGACGGTTCCTTAGAACCGGAGCTATATAGGAAAATGACATCTGCCCAGATCTTGTCAGTTTAGTCTATACAAAGGTATACAAAGGAGATGTTTCTCAGGAGAACGGAGGGATCTAGATGGTTGATATACCTGGATACGGTCAGATAAGTAGGAAGGTGCGGACTGGTTGTAGCAGTGGTACGCTAAGGTCAGGATCTTGTACCGTATTCGGGCTTCCACTGTGAGCCAGTGAAGATCGATACGCACTGGTGTTTGGATTCTTGACACAATCCTTGTTGCCATGTTTTGAATACGTTGTAATCTGATTAACTGCTCTTTGGAGATGTTACAAAGTAGCGTATTGCAATTATCGAGTCTTGGGAGCACAAGCATATGCGTAGCGTCAGTAGAAAGAAGGTGTGTGATTGCTCCGATACTTCTAAGGTGGAAATGTTCTGCAAATCTTTGAGATGTATTGTTCCATAGAGAGTTCACTGCCAAGAAGGACGCCAAGATTTTTACGGCGTCCGATAACTTTATTTCAGATTGTCCAACATTTACTTGCCATATTTGGCATGTTAATAAGATAATCTGAATTAGTGATTGAACTTGACATCTTTTACATACTGCATCATCATTATTCAACCCACATTAGCCTTTACGTACTTTCTGGATGCCGAAGCGTTTTCGCCAACTTCTAAATTTGGATTAAAATCTTCTATAGCTTAATGATGACGTTTTCCCAAACCGGTGCATTTTTCTCTCGGAGACGTTTTGCTGAGATGCCGTTTTAGCTATAACACCATAGCTATATATATATGATTAAAGTTACAATATCGTTTTCCTTCAGCGTGAATTGAAAAGCACTTTCAAGACTATGATATGGCAGCCCTAGCACGTTTGTTTCAAGTTCGTCAAACACAATCTTGTTTTTTTCCGTAAGAATGCATGTTATTATCAGTTTCTCACATAACACTTTTTGTTTCTTTTGTTGTTGTTGTTGTTGTTGTTGTTGTTTAACGCCGCACTCACCAATATTTCAGTTGTAGGACAGCGGCCTGTAAATAATCGAGTCTGGATCAGGCAACCCAGAGACTGATTCCATGAGCATCGTCCTCGCAGTTTGAATACGATGACATGCATCAACCAAGTCAGCGAGTCTGACCACCCCGATCCCGTTAGTCGCCTCTTACGACAAGCATGGGTTGCTGAAGACGAATGCTAATACGACCATTTTTTAGTGTCGTTTCTTTCCCATCAAAGAGAATCGCAGGAACGAAGAGGAACGAGTCTATTTAGCCGCTAATTAAGTGTGGGTGAGGGCTGTTTAACAACGCAGTCACCACGACGCTCTGGCCGAACAAACCAGTGACTAAAATCATTGGCCATCAGACAACTACAAGATAGATAACAATACAGACACATTGTAATACAAAAGTGAAAAACGAAATACTCATATTGTTATGTTACATTGTTTGTGGAATATGCTTTTTAATCATGCAGCCCCTAAAGCAAAACACAAAATTACGGGCTGTATGACTGATTCAAAATACTTAAAAAACGTAGTCTACATTGTATAATGTCTTTGAAAGGCATTTAGAAGTGATACACATAAGGAAGAGAATATATGGATGTCAACTTCTTTATCAATGCTAATTACCCCCGGCCTCCCGTTTGCCCAATGTCCATTGCCTTACTATGATAACTTAAGTACTGACTTCCATACCATGAGCGCTAATTATCGTAAAGTGTTGGCTCCCATTGTCCATTGCCTATCAGCGCCAGTCATCTGTTGGCTCCCTTGTTAGTTTCTACCCTTTGTTATTTTCCACCTTTTGTTATCTTATTAATTTTGTTGTCCTTACCTGTACATATATATATATATATACTCTCTACATCATGGCATTCATTCACCTGATGAAAGAGTAAGCATATCCTCCGAAACGTTGTGTTCCTCATAATAAAGAAGTTGACATCCAAATATTCTCTTCCTTACATTGTGTAACATTTAAACTCTCACCCTGGGCTCTACAGGTAACACACGTCTCCGCCGATTCAGTGCATCTACATACGTTCAGTCCTACATCTCTGGAGACGCCAATTGAAGAGTTGAACACCAAGATGTAACACATTGAGAGTCAATACGTAACAACGTGCCTATCGCATGCATCTTGTATGTTTTCACGTGTGTTGCAATGTAGTAAAAGATGATACTAACATCATATATAAGCCGTGGCTTTGCAAAAGCTTGGCAATATTGTTGTATGTTTCAAAATTGCCGAAAACTGTTATGTGGTAGTAGAGAGTGTTGGTGGTCGCGAGGGTCAGTTGCAGCAAACGAAGCGCTCGTACAATATCGAGTACTGACGTGGTACGCCTCGGTAAATTAGCGTCAGCGTCATTGGTTGTTTGTAAATAACTCCGGGACAGACTCCACTATTCGAGCAGTTTCGTTAGGTGATAGTTTCTAGAAGGCTGATTGTACCTATATAAGACTAAGGCGGTTCGAGACCTTTCACCGCGTCCTGCCAGTTTCCAATACTATTCCGAATTTAAGAACGGAGCATGATCCACAGTCAAGACATCTGCCAGCGACTTAATTATGGACATTCGTGATTTCACTGACATTTATCATATGGCCTGCTACATATTGGTTCTGTCACTTAATTGATCCATTGGATCGCCTTTGTGGATTGTGTGGGTAGTAAATACTTTATTACATATTCTGTACACAGTTGAACCGCCCACACAAAGTACAAGAAATACTGTGGACATTCCATCCCCATAGGTAATAAATCCTTTGCGATTCCTTTTAAATCTTCAATGATTTCCTTTGAATCCTTGAGATGTCAACACGTCTGTCATGGGAGAACCTGCGGTATTGAATGACAGGAAGTACATTTTTAAAATCAGGAAGATACCCTGAGCATTCTGACACGTATTTTTAACCAGGAAAATACCAAAAATGTAGTAAAAAAAAGAAAGAACAAAAGTTAAATATTCAAAATACCAAACTGAACTGAAGGAATTTCTTTGAATAAAAAAATGTCAAAATAGAAAGTAACAGATTGGAAAACTAATACAGTGTGTTTCAACACAATGTGTTAATTATTCATTGATCGTGTATGGTCCTTACGGATTTCACAATTTCTTTCTGCATGAACCGATTCCTGAGTCAACTTCTGCGTTCTTCTGGGGCGGTCGGGTAGCCTAGTGGTTAAAGCGTTCGCTCGTCACGCCGAAGACCCGGGTTCGATTCCCGACATGGGTACAATGTGTGAAGCCCATTTCTGGTGTCCCCCGCCGTGATATTGCTGGAATATTGCTAAAAGCGGCGTAAAACCAAACTCACTCACTCACTCACTCACTCTGCGTTCTTCTCAATTTAGAAATCACCTCGTAACAACCTGCATGTTTCTCTCCGAGTGGAAGAGATGAATAGAGTATTGGGTACCAATAACACATTTTTCCTGGACATGCAGAGAACAATTATTTTTTACAGGACGTCCCGCGGAAACCCGTGGCACAATTATTTTTACATGTGTTTTCAGGAACAAATTATCTTGGTAACAAAATAGCCTTTGACGAGGCCCGTTATAATGGTTATTGAGTATTGATGTGCGCGCGCATGGCACGTGAGAACATATTTATGGACCTGAATTCGGTCACCTTTAACGATTCTCTAAAACAATATGGTTGTTGTCTTTCCAAATAATCCCAGAGTTTGTCTTCCAGCTATGTCTTTGAGCAACCGGTACCTTGCGAAATGTAGCTGGCCTTTGTCACATGTATAGTGTTACCAATATATGCATGTATCCATACCAATATATGCATGTATCCATACCAATACATGCATGTATCCATGTGGGTAAGTGATTGAGTGTGTGTTGGGGGATGGTTGGGTTGGCGAGTGATTGATTAAGTATGATTTTACGTCGTTTTGGTAATAATCGGGCCACATTAAACCAGGAATTGGCTATATACATTGTAGGTATGTGGGGAATCGAACCCATTTCTTTGAAGCGACCAAGGAACACTTCATCTACTTGACTCCCAAACCGACATGAAGTATGTGAAAATTTTCCATTATCTTGAAAAAGTACACCTACGGCTTTCGAAACGTAGCCTCATTTAGG